GCTCCTACGGGGAAAACCTGGGAAGTTTGTAAGTGGAAGACGGTTCCTGCAGACAGACAGTAAAAATCCATGTTGAAATGCGGAGGGAGGGAGACATCCCACGGGCTGTGTTAGGGCCCGTGGCAGTCAGTGTGTGCATACAGACCTTGCGTGGTTATTGGTATTCTCATCATGGCTTATCTCTATTTTTATTTAAAAATTGTTACATATTTACACCAGGTTCAGCTGAGTTGCTGCTGTGACACAAAGTGCTTTTTTGTAGACAACTATTTTACATTTTCCATTTTCCTGTCTGGCTTTTTAACTACTTACTGCGATCCTGTTTTCCATTTGTTTACACCTTGCTCCTGCCAAGCTTTTCTTTAATGCAGGATTTCAAAGCAATTTTTCCTTTGTATGTATAGATTTGCAGCTTCTTGAACATGGCACAGTCAAAATTAGTCAAACCCCTTTAAACTCCCGTGCAATTAGCTGGTGAAAGAAAAGGGAGGAAGTACGGCTCCAATGTCATTTATTTATTTATTTATTTTCCTCAACACTTGGAGGAAAAATGTTCCTTTTTGTTTTATTAATGATGTGCTTATGAAATCGAGCGTTTGATGGTATGCACTTGGAGCAGGCAGAAGGCGAGCTTCCCCACGTCGTGCTGGCAGCATGCTTCCTTTCTGATCTGTAGCACGCTAGTTTATTCCAGATGTAGGCTCGCTCTGAACAGAGGCTGCCTGATGTACAATGGCTTCACGGTGGAGAAAGACAGCCTGCGGGGACCCACTTGAAGCTGCCAGCTGTACTCTCTATTCTCACTTGCGGTCTGTTACATAAGATGACCCATTTTTTTTGCTTGCGATTAATCCAAGCAGAATATTCATACTGTCTTTAAAAACATTTTAATTATTTGTAGCTTAGGCACTTTGAAGTTGATCAGTTTCAAGTGGAAAAATCTGGTCCAAAGGGCTGCCTGTTTGAAAGAGCCAAGTTAGGAGGAAAGTTGAGTCACCTAAGAGTGATGTAACTGCAGAGAACAAAAATTAGCCATTAGCCCAACTGCAGCCTGACTTGACCATTTGTGTTTCTGCTTGCTGTGTGAGGGAAGTGAAAAAATGTAGGTCTGGAAGGGACTTCAAGAGATGACCTGGTCTCATCTCCTCCTCTCAGACCACCTTTGACAAATGTTGGTCCATCTTGCCCATGAAACCCGTCCATCTTGCCCATGAAACCCTTCCATCAAGAGGAATCCACAGTCCCTCTGCGTAGGCAGGTCTGCTGCTGCTCTGTGTTTACAAGCAAAGTCCATGGGGTGGATCTGAGCAGAGTTAACATTTGCTCCCAGGAGATGGGGAACAAATCTCTAAAGGGAAATTTTGGCTTCTTATTCCATTGACACTCTCAAAGCAAGCATGGATGTCTTTCTGAGTGTCCATCTTGGCCGAATCTCAGGTGAATTGCATGAAATTTTCTGGATTGTCATACAGGTATTCAGCCCATGTTATCTAGTGAGCCCTTTCCACGTGGGTTCTCAAGTGCTGAGCTTTGTTATTGTGACCTGCCTTTGCTTAAGGGACGTAGGTTGGTCTCCTTATTCTTAAGAGGTGGGTATTGCCTAGGCTGCTACAGGAGCTGGTAGTGCCTCTCTCTCTGTCCTTGCTGAGGATGTCTGGAGTTTGAGATACCTGGCTGGACTGGCACCAGCACATCTCTCTGCTTTAGGCATGAAATGCTTTTGCACTGTGAGCTGTGGGTGCACGTGTGCAGATTTATCGTGTCACTTGTGAACACAGCTGGGGGGATTATTCTGAGTCATTTATAAATGAAGCTATGAGAATTACTCTGAGAGGGTGGAAAAGTTCAGATGTTAATAGGAGTATGAAACTGACAGCGGCTGAGCAGCAACCAGAATTGTGCAGCCGATCAGAGGAGACTGGTCAGCAGTTAAACTCGTCCTCCTCTGGGCAGGGATTATGCAGGCTCCAAGGACAGTGACATCAGGCCTGCAAACTGCCAAATCTGACTACACTTGGAGTTTCCTTGGGTATTGTAAGTCTCTGGAGTGGAGTGAATACACCAGAATCCTAGCTTTCATTTGAAGACTAAGTGAGCTTGTAGTCTTTTTGTTTATGAAGGAAAGCTTGAAAATATGATCCTTTAAAAAACTTCAAAATTAAAGACACGCCTCATTCTGCTTTTTTTTCTTTTCTTTTTTTAAAGCATTTAGGCTTTGTGTTGTTGAACCTGGGAATCTCCAGTAACTCAAGAAAACTAGTTTTAAGTAAAATTTAAATATATTTACAAATCCTTGGAATTGGCACAGAGCTTTACTATTAAGACTTTCCTGTGATGGAGTCACATAAGATGCACATTCAAAGCAGCAGCATTTTCCTAGCTGGCTGTGAAGTATCCCATATTGCTCTGTGCAAAAGAGAGAGCAGCTTCATGGGGAGAGGAAGGGGCTTCTGCTGAACACCTCCTTTCTCCAAGAGGCCTCAAGCAAAGGCTAGCAATCTGCTTTTTAATACTTAGCTTTCAAAATCTTGGAGTGACGTACCTTGGAGGTACATGTGTATTGGTGGGGGGCGTTTGCTTTGTAGCACACGGTTAAATGAAGAGCTATGAATGTTTTATGAGGAAGAGTGAAAGGACAGTGAGGGGATCTGATTTCCAGTCAACACCGAATTGTTTATTCCCAGTGAAATACATGCAGCTGACTGGCGGGGACTTGAGGGACAGCCTTTTCTTACACAGGAGATGGTGACTGTGTCATTTGAAAATGAGTGAAAGAAATAGGTGTTTAAGTATGTGCCAAATGGTTTCGTTGTCTTTATTGTGGCTGTGTTCTGCTGTCTGTGTTCAGACTGAGTAATGCTTTACTTTGCAAGTGCTTTTGATTTCAATAAGAGTTCAAGGGGAGTAAGATGGGGCTTGCATTAAGAGCAGTGGAGTCTTCCCATTTGCTGCTATTAAGTGTTTTGCTATGTAAATGAATATTTGAGAGTGGGTCAGTTAAGAATAAATTTGGGAATTTTTTTTTAATAAGATGTGTGATAGTGAGGAGTGCTGAGGAATGCAAGCTAGGCGCTGCACGTCGTGGGCCTTTGCATAACTCGCATTCCAAAAAGCTTTTGCAAATCATTAAATGCAATTTTATGACTGCATTGTTAAACTTTATTGGAGGGTCTGCTTCCAAACTGGATTTAACAACGGGACACTCGGAGTGGCATCTTGTGAGGAGAATAGATGGTCATCGTTTCAGCCTGGGCTTGGCTGGGGAGGCAGAGAGATTGTATTTTTCTGTTATATTGTTTTCATTATGGGTGCAAGGTACTTTATAGCAATAAAACCTCTCTGGAGCATTTTCATGCTGTAGCTCAGTTCTGTTTTTTAAGTAGATAAATATAGTTGACTCTTGCCCCTGCATTTAACACGGCGTCTCATGTATCACTCTAATTTATCTCAAAGTATTCTCTGTCCTGACATGTCCTGTTATTCAGCAGGAGACTGGGCTTTTATCGGTGCATTGGGGATCCCAGTTAAACCTGTTGGGATATAGCCCATGTGCATGACTTTCAAGTTAACAAATTACCCACAGGTGTATATGTTTTCAGGCTCAAACTTTTGGGTTACCTCTTAAGACACCTGGTTTGTTTTTCCTGTTTCTCCTACCTGTGGTCTAGGGACTGTGTAACATTATTGTCATTATTTTTCACTTTGTTCTTAAGAGATTGGTGTAGATACTGACCTCTTTGTTCCTGTATCTGAAAAACTCCCAGTGATCAGGTAAAAAAAGCACATTTTCTTCCCTTGATAAAGGCTCTGATAAACAACGTTGGCCTAAAATCTGCAGGTTGCTGCCACAACCCTTGGGTTTGCCAATATATTTAGCAGTTCCCCTTCTTAGAAACAAGCAGCAATTTGTACATGCTTTTCACAGTTTGGCATGAAATTTTAATCATCTTTGCTGCTTGGGTGTTTGCGTACTGTGAGAACGTTACTTGTGTGCAGAACAGACCCAGTCAGAAATAGCTGACCCGGTGCCTGGTGACTGCAACACACGGCCTAAAAATTGCCTCGAAATTGTGCATTTTGCTGTCTTGCAAGCTTGAAAACTTCCTAGGGTTTCTCATAATTCTGTTACCCTGGTTCTTCCCCTCTCTGAGAGAGTCCTGGCAATCGCCTTACATGTCTTGCTTGCTTGCTTGTTTTCCCTTTTTTGCTCTGCTGATATCTGCCACACTTGTATTTCCTTGTGCCCAGTCCTGCCAGTAGGACTCACGGGAACTAGTTTTTGTTTTGCATTTCGTATTGCTCTGGAGTTTGTAAAGCACTTTTTGGAAAAATATTTGTAATCATTAAAGAAAAGAAAAAAAAAAAAAGGTGTCCTAAACATCTCTTATTACCTTACTTATACTGAAAAGTTGATCTCTGTGGTGGGTAAATTTATTATTTACAGTCTGTACTACAGCTGTCCAATAAGAAATATTTGATTGGCAGATGATAATTTGAAGCTGGTATTTTCTTTCCTATGTCTCAAATCTGCAAACCCTTCTGGAGAGGGAAGTGCTGCTGTGTGATGCCAATCTGGTCCCTGCTGCAATAGCAGCTGTGCTTCCCGGTGTTCAGAGTCCCCCTTGAACAACGTCTTGCTCCTCTGCAGCCCTGCACAGCTCATCCTTGACTTTTGGCGAAGGGGTTTGAGGCTGCTGGGTGCTTTGGGAAGGATCAGGGCATTGAGAGCAGCACCTCTGCGTGGCTCAGAAAAGCTGCAAACAGCCCTGCAAGAAAACCTCTACGTGCTGACCCTGCTCTGTGCTGCCTCCTCCTTTCTGCCTCCTTCGCTTGGACCACAGCTAACACAGCAAAGCTCAGCAAAAACACCCATATAGCTTGAGCTATACAGATGTGTGGTGATGGGCAGCAAGGTGCTAAATAGCTCCCTCCTGTACCCTCCCAGCCCTCTCTCAGTGTCCAAATCCAAATTCAAGGACTCTCTGCACGTTCTCTCTCAGCGAGAAGGTTGCCGCATATGGAAGATGCACATCCTGAAGGGGATGGACGGGCTGGGAATCCAGATAACGGGAGGCAGAGGGTCGAAGCGGTCCCCTCACAGCATCATCATCACCCACGTGGAGGAAGGCGGCTCTGCACACAGGTGAGGCGACAGTGGTGCCTTCACGGGAGTGGGTGTGATGGAGCATCTGTGGCCATCGCTGTTAGCCAGACTCATGAGACAGGTGTGGGGGGTTTGCCCTCCCATTGTGTGAGGGTGAGAATATGGCATTTTTAGCTTAAAAACTCTTCTTTGTGATTGGTCACAGAAGCTTCTTCCAGCATGTTTAGTCCGAACTATAGACAGATACAACACTTGCTTGGTGATGGAGCCTGATGGCTTGTGGGGCTTTTTCCCCAAGTCCCTTTTTGGAAGATGGGCCTTTCCCATGGGATCGTCAGTGTGTGAGCGTGGGTTGTGCAACCCGGGATGCTCACTGACAGCCCTGGCCCTGCTCCCTGATGGGGGGGAGATGGGGCTCACTGCTGCTCCCTGACCATCTCCGGTGGGGCACAGAGAAGGTTTGAGGGGTCTCACCCCTGCAAAGAGGGTGAAATGGCTCTGGGTGTAACAATGATTTCCTGGGGGCACCTTTCTGAGCCACTTTTTTGGGCAGATAACACTGCACTGATAGATGCAAGCTTAGCATCAGCCAGATCACGTGTTGTCCATGCCTCCATGTCCTGCCGCGTGCCACTGGAGCCCGGAACCGGCAAAGGACCGCCCTGCAGCTCTGCGTTCCTGCTCTGTTTCCGCAGGGATGGCAGGCTGACGGCGGGCGATGAGCTCCTCATGATCAACGGGCAGTCGCTGGTTGGGCTCTCCCACCAGGACGCCGTGGCCCTCCTTCGCTCGGCTGCTGGCCTGGTGCAGCTGGTGGTCGCTAGCAAGGTACGGTCCTCTTCTTGGTGGTCTCCTGAATGTACATCCACAAGTGCTGCGTGGAAAGGGCATATTTTTGATAGGGAATCACGTGTGCACATTTGCTCCCCTAAATGTAATGCACAGCTATGGGAAATATAGCAGTAGCTGCCATAAATCTGTGGCAAATCAGCACGGTATAGACCAACTTAATGATTTGCTTGTATTGTCACTGTCATTCAGTGTGTAAATGAGTCTGTATTTATTCATGCAGATGTTACTTAAGTTTTGGCCAAAACCATTTTCTTAAAGTATATGCTAAATAAAGCAGCATATATGTTCTCAGCCTCTTCTGCTTCCTGCCTGCATAGCCTCAATAGCTCCCATCCCTTGTCCTATCTGTGTGCCTGAGGTCTCTTGATGATGATCTCTTGGCTTGAATTCCCTATTTGGTCCTTGTTAATAGCGTGGAGTGGAGCTCTTGCAGATAAAGGAGCATGAAATTTCAGGGAAATGAGAGTAGAACTCATCAGTCGGGCTCTTCGTTCTGCTTTCATTGCAGGAGATTGAGGGATATTACACAATAATTTTTTCTTTGTTTAAGAAAATCCTGCCCGCCCCAGTTCGCTCTCCTCCCCGCACCGCAGCCTGCTGCTCCCCTGCTTGGGTTAATGCAGGCATTTGGTGGGTGGCCGACTGGCTCCCAAAAGCACCTGGGGTCTCAAAGAAGGACCTGTCTGCAGGTGGGGCCATCAGGGCCTTTGGGGTGGTGGCAGGAACTTCTTGGGCCAAAGGGACCACTCGTAAACCTGCTTTTCCCAGTGGAGCGTGCTGTGTCAGCAGGCCACTATCGGTATTTTTAAAATTTTGCGTAGCTTCATCTTCAGGTTGCCCCAGTCAACCTGATGCAGGTTTCTGCGGGTTTAATGTCTGAATGCTCTTACGGCTTCCCAGGATGCTTTATGCTCATGTTTTTCAAGAAGAGGCTCTATCCCACCACAAAGTGAAGAGCCTATAACTTCTCTAATGTTTCAGTTAGACAGTGAAGTTCATTGAAGACTTTTCTGTAGGGTCACAGCCTGGTATTAACCCCACCGGTGTTTATTCTGGAAACAGCACGCTTTGACCTGAAGTAGGTACATTTTGTATTTCCTTTAGACAATTGGACTCTCTGCCAAAACGCAAGGTGGTAGACTGCATAAATTTCTCCTTAAAATTATTTGCCTGTTCATGTGATGACTGCATCAAAATAATCATCGCGAATAAGCTTACAGCATAAAACTTCACGTTCCTGATCAGGCTGTGAATCTGCCTGGCCTGTGCTCTGTGCGCTTGGACAGTTTTCATGTCCCTGGGAGGAGGACTTGGAAAGGCAAGCAGTGGGGAATCCAGCCTGTGCCGTGTTTCAGGCAGTCTCAGAAAAGGTGTAAACGGGTGAAGTGTTCCCCAGCAGCTCCCTCTGGGCGTTATTTGTTGGTATGGGAAAGCAGCCTTGCAGTTTGGCCTGGTGGGCGCTCCTGAATGCAGGATTTGTTCTGAAAGCAATAAAATGAGTCTGTCTGGCCACTGCTTTCGGCTGATGCACGTGTTTGCCTCCCGGAAAAGGTGCCAAAGACTGGAAACAGATCCTGAAGCATATCAGGACTGAGTTGGTAGAGGATTGCTGGGTCAGTTTTCATTTTGTTCTCCTAAGTAGGGTTGTCGGTGTGTTATTCTTATGCCTGTAGATAGATAAACATGTGAAGGGAACATCCGCAGGGAGGGAGCAGGAGCACAGAGTGTGATTTGGGATGCAATGAAATGAATAATGAGGTCTGTAAACTCAGAGTCTGCTCACAGTGACATTTAATAAACCCAAAGTGGGGAGGAGCAGGCTGCTGGGGAAGCATTTATTTTAAATTCTCCTTTATGAAATCTAACTGTTTTAGACGTGTATTGGCCTGTGTTTACTATATATACACTTTAAAACCAGGTCTGCTTTTTATAACTGGACCATTAAAGTTTAAGCACATGGAAGTGTGTAACGAGGGGAGGATTACCGGGGAGCTCTCACTGGGCAGGTGAAATGGAGCAGTTTCACCATGACTTTGGTGGTTTTCTGCATGTGATGTAACATATTTTGTTGTCTCTCGAGTAGGAATCTGCTGAAGGGGATTTTCTGAAGTACCCATCTACCAGTTTGCCAGACTTGCTTAGCACTTGCTCAGTCCAAGACTCTGTCTCTTGCACTGACAATAAGGAAAATGAAGAGCCAGAAGAAGAAGATGTGAAAGGAGTGAATGTTTCTCCTGAAAAACTGGTCGCTGTAAGTGTGGCTTTGGTGTGACGTTTTTACTCTCTCCCTTGACGCCCGTTTGCATCTGTCACATTCTCCTACAGCCTGACACGGAGCAGGTCCTTGGGATGGGGCAATCCCACCCAGCCCCTCTTTGCATGGGACGTGGGTGACAAGCTGAAATGGGGATGGCATCTACCACAGCATCTGCCATCTCTGCTACTGCGCTGCAGCAAAGCAGCAGCACAGGGAGCAGGAGCTCTCGTGTCCTCCAAGCTATGTGGCAATCATGGGGTTTTTTTCTCTCTGCCGTTGGATTGTTTTCCACCCACTTCCACTGCTTTTGTTGGATCTGATGCAAAGTCTCTCGCAGTGCTTACGCAGTAACACACTCTTCTTTCCCCTCCTTTTGTAACTAAACTTCTTTAACAGTTTATGATCCAAGTCTCCAAGTTTTTATTTGCTCTGTTGAAGCCAACAGGCACTTTTGGGGGGAGGGATATGAATTTCTGGCTGTGAACCGTAACTGAAGTTCTGCTGAATAAATGCTGCTGGTTGATAATCTCACTTGCATTCCCTTCAGGGCTGCATTAAGCAGAGATTAAGTGGATTATTGTTATTTATTTGTAATGTAGCAGCTCTCTGAAACTTCGTCTGTGTTCTGGGCCTCTGTTGTATTGTACACACAAAGAATAAAATGATGTTTGCTACTCTAAAGAGCTTGCAGGCTGGTTTTCCAGCAAGGGAAGGCAGGTGGATTCACTTGAAGCTTTTATCTTTTTTTTATTCTCTCATCTTTTTTTCCCCCTCTTTTCTGCGGCAATTATAATAAATCTCTTAAACCTTTGGATGGCTCAGACGTGATATTGGTCTGGTGATTTGTTTTGGTTTTGTATTCTTATACTTTCCCTTTTCTAAGCAAAAGACCACTCCCTGGGACAAGTCTCACGCTGTAGTCTAGCTGAGGCTGGTGTTCACTTCATGCCTGCCTGTTATCTCTGACTTTCTTTGAGTCTATGCTTATGACAGTCCTTACTCTCACACATCTCTTTACTGTGACAAGTTTTGTTATTTCTGCACTGTCTTCTCTTCTGAGTGTCAGGGTCCCTTTTTGGGGGGAGGAAGGGAAAAACAAATAAATCAGGGATGCTTAGCGTGCTGATGACGGTGTAGTGTTTGTATGCTAACTTGAGAGGGCACCTAAGCGTCCTTTTGGCTATCAAAATACTTTAAATTCTTCTGTATGTCATGTTTCACATTCTGGTAATTTTTCATAAGGCTGTGGCTCAGCAATGCTTAAACATAAAAATCAATTTTGTCAAAACTTAATTATGTGTGGCTTCAGGATGCAGCTCCCTGGCGTTCCAGTGACTCTTTCGGCACACGCTAGGAGTTATTTGTCGCTTGGTTTCCTCCTGACTTTCCAGCAAGGCTCTGCCTGGTTTTCAGTGATGGCTTTTTTTAATCGGGTGTTTCCTTTCCAGATTAACATCATGCTAGGGGAAGCTCAAAGTAGCTGAGGTGCACGCCACCGTGAAGACCCAGCCGCACGAGCCTGCCCAAAGCCCTTCAGCATGGACCTGAGTTTGGACCCTGCCCCAGTGTCCGTCCCAGTGCCGCTGCAAGCTGGCAGTGGTGGTAGCCTAATTCAGAGCCAGTTTGATTTGCCTGCCTATCTGGCACTCTCGTCCCTGATGGCAACAGCTCTGTGCTTTCATAATGCATCGCTGGGGGATGGAGGGGAAATTAGAAGAATAGCAGCAAGATTACTTTTTTCTTCTTTTCTCTGTTTCTATTAATTTTTTTTTTTTTGTTGGAGGGGATGTAATTCAGAGGGATGTAATAAGTTATTGGTGACTCTCAGGACCTCTTCTTTTTTTGCTTGAGCAGCACATGAAATTCTTCCTCTTCTAATCCAAAACACAGGATGTCTTTGCGTTCCCCTTGTAATTGCTGTCTCAGCCTCAGGAGCGCAGACGGGGCTCTCTGCAGCCTGGGGTGGGCAGTCTGTACAGTGCAGATCCCTCGGCTCTACCCGCAGCCTAATCCGTCCTCATCAGATCATGGCAGCCTGAGCTGAGCTGGCCTGTGCAAATCCTGCGTGCCACCAGGCAGGACGTAGGAAGGTAAATTTATGGAAAAGATAAAACTACACACATGGCTTTTTTCCACTTGGCGAGATGGGGGGGGATTTTTCATACAAAGCTGAGAAGCCAATTTCAAGGTCAGTATGAACACAAAGCATCACATGATTTTTTTTTTTTTAAAGGTATATGTATAGTCATATAGATTATTGCAAAATTGCTTTGGAACTTACTGTTCTTTACTGTTCCCACTCTCTTGATGATACTCACGTGTCTTCTTTCATATATTTTCCATTATATTTATACTGTAGATAAGGGATGACGGTGTGACTGATGATTAAAGCAGGAACTAAGCTGGACCATTTTTAATCAGTGCAAATATAATTGTTTTAGACTTCCAGGGTGGGTGACACTCAAGGTCTGGACCAGGTAACTGAGACTGTGGTCTCAGTTGGAGCGTCAGACCTCTTAGATTTAAAACCAGTTCTCAACCCAGCTCTGGCCAGGAGTTACCTTTCTCACCACCAGTTTCTTACCTCTGGCAAGAGATTAATGAATTTTCTTGTTTACTGTGCAGGGCTTTGTAGAGACTTAAAGGGATGCTGTCAGGTGGTGCATGGTTAGGTAACAACAAGTAATTCAGAGTGATTTATCATCAACTAAGGCTTCACTGTCCCTTTTCTGACCAGCACAGTGTATGTGTAATTCTTGAGCAAGTGTAGAAGATACTACAAAACTTGCAGGAGCTCTTAGGGTTGTCTAAGGTCTTCTTTCATGAACCTCGCTGTGAATATAGTTCAGTGCTGAGTATTCAGAACTGTAATTTATAGACGTGATGGACTTGCTGTTAATGCCTTAGCACCTGATTGCTCAAAGGCTGAAGCAGGCAGAAAAAACAATCACTTGGAACTAAGGTATATATTCAAATCTTCATCCTTGTATTTATTTAGAACTCAGCTGGACCAGCCCCTGAGGAATGTTGTCTCTGCTTTGAGATGGGGGCTGGACCAGGAACCCCCAAAGGTCCCTTCCAGCCTGGCTTACTCTATGGTTCTGTGAAAAATTAAAAAAAAAAAAAAAAAAAAAAAAAAAGTCTCTTTTCCAGGGGCTGGATGTTAAAAGTTTTCCCTGTGAGCAAGTTCTTTAAAACTCTTAAGTTCTGCTCCAGCGTTTCCAGCCAGGGAAATATAATCTGAGCTAATCAGCTTCCCCAGGACACAGCAGAAGAGTTTAGTGACACTTGAAAACTGTAATTTAAGAGAAATATCACTTGTAAGTCTTACTTGAAAGTTCCCTTGTTGTGTTTCATTAATACAAATTTCATAATACAATTTAATTGGAGCTCTGTTTTTACACGGTCTCCTTACGTAAAGCCCTGTTTAACATGAAACATCCCTTAAAGTTCTAACTTTAATAAAACTTGTGCCGCCAGGCAGAAAAAGGATTACATTAATTTCCTTAAAGTGCATTTCTTTTAGAGCTAGTTTGGCCAAAATGTTCCTTAACTTCAGATACGAAATACCAGGCCACAGAGTCATGTTGTGTTAAATTGTCCTGAGGCATTTTGGGGATTTTAAACTCCCCCTGAAACATCCCTTAAAGTTCTAACTTTAATAAAACTTGTGCCGCCAGGCAGAAAAAGGATTACATTAATTTCCTTAAAGTGCATTTCTTTTAGAGCTAGTTTGGCCAAAATGTTCCTTAACTTCAGATACGAAATACCAGGCCACAGAGTCATGTTGTGTTAAATTGTCCTGAGGCATTTTGGGGATTTTAAACTCCCCCCCCCCCCCCCCCAGCCTTGTGCAGTTGACATTGCTATTTTAAAATGTCATTATTTATGTCCAAGTGAAGTAGGATGATATGATAGGATTTGCCTTTGACAATTTATTTTTAATTCTAATTCACTTTTCCTAGTATTCCTGTTGCTTTAAATTGAATCTGTCACTGTATTGCTGGCTGGCGGAGCAACCTGGGAAATGAACTCTAAAGAGAAAGCAGGTCTGCCAAGAGTTTGCAAAGTGTCTGATTAATTTGGGGCATTTGGGGTCCCCAGACAGAGCCATGTACCATTCTTAGTTGCTTCAAAGTTTTTTGCCTTTGTTTCTGCTGGTGCTATGTTGTTCAATACATGGTGATCTGAGTACTTTATCTTTGAAGTGTTCAGCTTCAGTGACCAGCTTCATATTAATGAGCTGAAATTCCAAGAAGTTACTAAATACAAGAAAAGGGTGTCTGCCTCAGTAGGTTTGGATCTGTAGTTGCTGGAGGCAGGGAGGAAAGCCTGGGGACCGTTCCTCTATACTTTGCTTAATCTTGTGCTTTCCCTCGGGTATCTGCTGCTCGTGATGCTGGAGGCAGGACCCTGAGCCAAGTCTGTTCCATGCAGAATAGAATTATACAAAAGGGGAATTTCATATTTGGGAAAGGAGGTCATCGCTATCCCTGCCTCTTGGGGGGGGAGCTGGGAAGGGAGGCGATTTGCCTCCCCTTGCCCAAGCCGACCATGCAGGCGAGCCCTGGGGAGACAACCTCTGGCAGCATCCCCGGCTGTCTGACCCTCTGTTGTGGGACGGCAAAACCCTTTTGCTTGTGTTTAATCATTTTGTGTTGACCTGAAGTGCTTGATGTGTACCTTCACGTGAGCTGTGGGCATGTTGCATGCCGAGACGGCCATGACCCGCCAAGCTCTTGATCCTCCTACAAGTAACAGAAACAGGATGCCCCTGGTTAAAGGTTTCTTGCATGAACTGGGTTTCCTTATCCCTGCCAGATCCTACTTGTGTTTTTTGCAAGGCATGCAGCTGAAAGTGGATAAATAAACCTGTTCTGTGAATATGCAGAAATTCATTAGTTTACTACCCCCTCCCTCCCCATTTTTATATTTTATCTGAGCCATAGGACTGCTTAGTTATTTTCTGTTGTGAGCTTTTCTGTTGTACCAGG